AACGTAGTTCAATCTCATACAACAAATCGCTCTTAATTTGTAAAAATATTCATATCCAGTATAAATAATAATATGTACGGTATGGTGATTATTTTTGTGACGATTTTACATTCAGTCAATCTGTATAGTGTTGACATAGGTTCCCCACCGCTAATCTACAGCATTTACACTGCAATTAGTGCACTACAGTTTAAACGACCGAAAACAACCATGTAATACATGTATTCTACTACACTGTAGTAATTCACGTTATAACTTATAACTAATATTTGTGTTTTGGTACATTATGCACCAGACATCAAATGATGCATTTCATAAATATTATAAATTGTTAAAAAAAATATGATTTTGAAAATTGTTTAAATAGAAAGTGATTTGTAGTAAACATTTAGTTTTATTTAGTTTTGTTTACCAATTCTTTAAACACTTATAGTTTATATGAAAAATGGCTAAAACTTATAAAAGATTGGTTATCGTGAAAAGAACGACAAACTTTAGAGAAGCTGTAAAAGTATTGTGCGAACCATTGGTTCCGCCACAAGACAACGAGATACTCGTGAAGACGGTCTACGCGGGGGTCAACGCAACTGATGTCATAACATATCAATTTGGAGGAAATGGAGTCGGATATGAGGTATGTTTGTCAAACATATCTGCAAATTTGTATATCGCAAGTTGTTTTAATAAAAATATAATATCAATTCAATTAGAAATACAATATAGAATTTAATTTATTTTAATATTTATTTTTAATAATTTTTTATTGAAAGGCATTGGGAGTGATTGAAGCCGTGGGCAAAAATGTTGCTGATTTTACAGTCGGACAGACAGTCATATTCCTATTTGGCATCGATTATAATTTCAGAGGATTCTCTGAATATATAGTATGTTATTATAAATTAGTTCTTTATATTCATTTTTTCTCAAATAATTTTTGATTTAATTGTCACCAAAAGTACGCTAAGAGTGAAGAACTAACTGCAGTCCCTTGTCTTAAACCGGAGTTACTATCACTACCTGTTTGTGGTATAACAGCTGCCATTGGATTAGATAACGTATTTAATTATATTATTATTAATTTAAGTTAAAGTTAATATTTATTTCAATAAATTTATAACCTAAAGGCCGGATTCATTAAGAAAACTGACAAAGTATTAGTGACTGCAGCCGCCGGTGGCACTGGTATGGTAGCCGTCCAGTGGGCCAAACAAAAAGGGTGTTATGTTATAGGAATGACATCAACTGAAGAGAAGGCAAAACTGCTTAAAGAGTTGGGAACCGATCGAGTGATTAATTATAAGACTGAAAATTTGGATGAAGTGCTCACTAAAGAATTTCCGGTATTATAGGCTATTAATAACAGTTATGTTAATTAAAACTAATTATATTTAATTTCCAATATAATAGGAAGGAGTGGATGTGATTTGGGAGACAATCGGCGGTCAAGTATTTGAGACTCTATTTAAACATTTGGCACTAAAGGGTCGACTCGTTTTGATCGGAGGAACCGCTTCTTATAAATCTGAGACAAACGATGTAAACAATACACTCAATATTCCCAACGCGTCTAACGTATGTTTTTATAAAATTTCTATCAATTTAATTGCAATTATAATTTTCGATTAACTTTTAATTAATAGTTACTTAGAATGAACCAGATGCTTTCTGGTTTTTTCATTTGGCACAATCGGGATTTGTTTCCCAAATATATGCCACAATTAGTTGAAGACGTTGTGAGCAATAAATTGAAAATTGCCGTCGATTTGGGACTCAACACAAGTGAAGGAGAATTCAAAGGAATTGATTCTGTGGTCAGAGGAGTGGAGGTAAACATCAATGAAATCAAATGTTTGAATATTAATTGTTATTATAATTATTAATA